TCCTATATATAATACACTCAGACTTTTGACTGCGTTTCATCGAAAAATAAAAAGTGGTAATGCGACCATTAGCTTTGCAGATGTTTTCAGGTCTAATATAAGAAATTTCACAGTTGAACCTAAACGACAAAGTGTCATGTGGAACCCAGATTTAAGTAGATACAGCATAAGCCTAATCCACATGTAAGAGATGCCGATTGTCGCTGTGCGTGGTTAGCACATGATGTCAACTTTTTCCTCACTATACAGTCACGAAAATGGAGATTTGCTTTGGTGAAAGTTCTTGCACAGTCTGCCAGGTTCCAGGAGTATGCTAGACCCCTGCAGGAAATATGTACAAATTTGTACACACTGCTGTTGTGTGGTTGTGCTGCAGGAAACGGATGCAGGGAGATGTCAGTAAGCCTGGGCCTTGTGCCTTCTGCCTTCTGCTCCAGCTACAGTAGAGTTCAGTGCTAAAAGTAGACCTCATATGTGATGAATTACAGCTGGCTGCAGGCAAAAAAAAAAGCTTTGTCTGACACAAGCACCCACTCTGATGGCAGATGCGCAGGAGCTTTTGATTGGGGTGGAAAGCAGAGGAAATGAGCCGTGTTTCTGGAATGGATGTTATTGTGTTTCTTCTCTGGGTGCCATTCCTGTGTGTGTGTGCGCATTTATTTTCCTGCAGTAATGCTTGCAGAACCACAAACAAGTTCAGGGTGCACACAAATACACATTCCACAAACAGATGCATTACACCATATTATGCTCTGTGCATTCATGTACATGTTCTGTATTTGCATTCAGAGCGGACTTTATGGACTCAATTTGTTTTTGGAGATTTGTTGGCTGTTCCCTCCAGCCAGTTGAATTGTGGAATCTCACAGTTAACATATAGACATAGTTGAACGGCCTGTGGTTGTTTTGATCTTAAAGCAGGCCTGTTTGGGCCTGTGTTGTTCTAGAACATGCATCAACCTATTTTAAGGGTACAAGCATGTCTGCGTTTGTGTCTGTTCCACACCATATTTGTTAATCCACATTGGAGCCTGACCTTTCGACCACTTTGAGGTGTGGAACTGCTTTGTGGGGTGAGGATGGGGTGTGGGAGACATGCCTGAATAACAGAAGAGCAGTATTACTGTCTGTCTGCATGCACATGCAGTACTTTAGCTAGAGATATAAATAGCTGTCTTTGAATAGGAGGGCTGGAGAGAGATGGCTGTGGCGCCAGAGTAGTGGTGAGTGCCAGTTTTCCTGGGGAAGAGAAGGCAATGAGCAGCCTTACACGTCACACAAAACTAAAACATGCATTATGAAGGGATGATTATAGTGTACAACTGCCCTCACGTTAAGCCTTGATCTTCAGCATACACAAATATGTGTTCAAGGGTGGAGTAGAGATGATCCAAGCATCATTACCTGTACAAATCTTGGTTAAATTTCACTAGATCTCTGAGGGTGATTAAGTCACTTGTTTTTTGCACTTTCACAACATTTGGGTGTGATGCAATGCATATTTTGGTTAGTAAGACCTGCAGTACAACGGAATGCTGTGTGAAAGGCTTTTATATGATGTCGCTTACGAAATGCATGCTTTTTATAAAGATAGTTTGTCTCCAAAGTGAACCAACATGCTTTATTTAAATTGAGACAGGGTGTCTTGAATCTACAGCCGTGCTGTGGGAATGTTCAGCATAAAAATGGCTCCCAAATGAGAGGAAAAATGACTCTGCATTCTTACAGAGGTTAAACCAAAGCATTTGTTCTAAATAGCATACCATTTTCAAAGTCTTGGTGCAAAAACTTCGGTTGTCTGTCCAGTAAGTTTTGCGATACTATAACAAATTGATTTTTTTTCCCTTCTGGTCTCTTGCAGTAGCCATCTCCAACCTGCAGTACTAATAAATTGCAGTGCACTTGCACACTCTACACTCAGACACTTTAGTGTTTTTACATCTTCATCTTATCAATTTGCCGGTAGCTCTGATCTCTGTATATGTGACAGTGTTCAGGTTGCTGTTTTGTTTACTAGCTTCAGAATCACCATGCAGATTTTTGTATTGTGTATTAGGGCTGCACGAATAATCGAATGCGATTGTCATGCGCATTTTGATAGTAATGCCGGTTCTGTAATCAGCAGGAAATCATCATCACATGCTTTCAGATGGAGCAGAATTTACTACACAGAGCCGTAGTTCACTGACAAGTTACGCAAAAAAATCGCATGCGATTTTATTGCGCGATTCTGAAATCGAAGAAATTGTTCGCGATAATGACAGCTGTTTGCATAGCTTCTCAGTGAACTACGGCTCTGTGAAGTAAATGCTGCTCCATCTGAAAGCATGTGAAAATACCACATTTAATAACATATTTTTACTCCAAACATAACGTCAGTCGAGTGTTTGAAATAAATCCTTCTGTGAGATGATGTGGCTTCTTACACAGAATAAGGCACGCAACATATTTCATAGTATTTAAGCAGTGATAAAGGCATTAAAACTTTATTTTAATGAAAATTATAGTAATAAGAACTCAGATAAATCGTATATTGCCGTAGTCATGTGTTTTATTAGTCACGTTGAATCAATGAAAGCAGTTAAATCTTCTGTTTATTCAGCTGCAGCAATGGGCATTTTCTGGGTTTCTTCTGCGTGGCGTATTTGGAGTTTCCGCGCAAGAGTGCCCTCTGGCCTTTGGATGGAGATTGACTGCTGATCACAGAACCGTGCTTCAATGAAAGATATGCATGACAATCGCAGCTTCTGTCGAATTGCGATCTCGATTCCATTTCTATTTATCATGCAGCCCTATTGTGTATTGTAAACAAGAGAAAAGCTTCCATAAATTTACTGAATTCTGTTGGTATTTTAAAGTGTTTTCTTGCTTGACTGGATCAAATGCATTCTGAGGAATGGTCCAAATTCTAGAACCGTGTTGCATTTATTTAATGTCATTTCGATCATTTAGGTTGCTTATCAGTTATTGCAGATTAGTGTTATCAGATGAACAGGTCTACCTCACAATGAAATTAAAAAAAATATATCATTATGCCATTTGTTTGCAGTAGGGCTGTCAATAATATAAAGTTTTGACTGGTGATTGTGATGATAACTGATTTTTATAGAAATTCTGAAATGTTCACGTCAGTTACAGTGTACCTTGCAATTTTTATTATAAACTTGGAAACAATTAAAATGTGGGATTTCCTTAAGTTTTCATGAAGCTTAAGTAATATTTGTGCTGTAATTTATTCACTTTCACGTGAATACATACATTTTTCTGTTAAAATCCCTTTATCTTTTTCACATGAAGTCCTTTGAGTTTCTGTGTCTAATTGGCAATGTTTTTTAATGTGCCCTCATTCCAAATCTGGGGAATGCTGTCATCGCCACACAAAAAACACTGCCAAGCCATCAGAACCAGACCGAACTGAAAACCGGGGTTAATAACACTAAGTAATAGAACTCATTTGTTCTAGAAAATCCCTAATATTGATAAAAGCATCCAGCTATCGCTGTAACTGAATAAAAAGAAGATAGAAACGTTTTGAATGATGAAACATGAAGACAATAAACATTCGACTGCAACAATGTATGGTTTGTGTTCTTTATAATTTGTAGTTCTTAATAATTAAGTATATTTATAATCCATTGCTAATCTACATATCATTTATTGCAGTATAGAATATATTTTCATTCTGTGGTAAGAAAAAAAAATATATCATTATGCCAATATTTGTTTGCAGTAGGGCTGTCAATAATATAAAGTTTTGACTGGTGATTGTGATGATAACTGATTTTTATAGAAATTCTGAAATGTTCACGTCAGTTACAGTGTACCTTGCAATTTTTATTATAAACTTGGAAACAATTAAAATGTGGGATTTCCTTAAGTTTTCATGAAGCTTAAGTAATATTTGTGCTGTAATTTATTCACTTTCACGTGAATACATACATTTTTCTGTTAAAATCCCTTTATCTTTTTCACATGAAGTCCTTTGAGTTTCTGTGTCTAATTGGCAATGTTTTTTAATGTGCCCTCATTCCAAATCTGGGGAATGCTGTCATCACCACACAAAAAACACTGCCAAGCCATCAGAACCAGACCGAACTGAAAACCGGGGTTAATAACACTAAGTAATAGAACTCATTTGTTCTAGAAAATCCCTAATATTGATAAAAGCATCCAGCTATCGCTGTAACTGAATAAAAAGAAGATAGAAACGTTTTGAATGATGAAACATGAAGACAATAAACATTCGACTGCAACAATGTATGGTTTGTGTTCTTTATAATTTGTAGTTCTTAATAATTAAGTATATTTATAATCCATTGCTAATCTACATATCATTTATTGCAGTATAGAATATATTTTCATTCTGTGGTAAGAAGCCACATCAGATCACAAAAAAATAAGTTATTTGAAACATTTGACTGATGTTGTGGAGTAAAAACATGTTATTAAATGTTCTCTGTTGTTGGACAACAGGTTTAGAAACGCTTCTCATTGCAAGTCATTACAAGGGAAGATGTTTGGTGAGTTTTATTTTTTCAAATGCACTTTATAAGCGACTCAAACTCACAATGTCTCCCAGAAGTTTTTTTTTTTTAATGTAAAACCAAAAAAACCGCAATTCACAAGAGCATATTGAACTGTAGATGTCGTACCGAACAGTTCAATATTATATTAAGAATTGTGGTATCCCTACTGGTCACTGTTGTATCAAATAATCATGGACAGTTGATTTTGTAATAATTGTGACAACTCTAGTTGATAGATTTTCTGATGACTGTTGTGTTTACTATTCAGTTCTTACATCCATCTTACAGGTTGACTGGTTGTATGTGGAACATTAACAGATGTCATTACTTTCAAAACTGTTCTTGTTCTGAGGAGATCAGTACATAAGTACTATTTGTTTTTGAAGATCTGTTGACTTTGAAAATTGCCAGTTAAACAAAAATGGGGGGGTCCTACAAAATGCTAATGTGTCCTTCCCTCTCTCTGTCTCACAGACGGTCGATGACGATGCGATGGAAGCGTGAATGAGGTTTGGCGTGGCAATAGCTGAACGATGCCCAAGGGTGGGGGTTCTAAAACCCCCCAGCTGGAGGACTTCCCATCCAACACCGACATGGTGGAAAAACAGGGTGGGAAGAAGGTGAGGAAAACTGATTTTATATCAAATGCACACACACGCTCTGCTGATATAACTGCCTGTAACCTTTCTAAGCAGTTAAGTAACAACCCATTGGATAGTTTATATCCTAAATCTTTTCTTTAGAGCTACATACGCCATTGCACACTGCATTACCTATTTCAGCATTCGGACTAAGAATGGGCATCTTTCATTTGTTTTTATACAATCTATTTTAGTAAGAATCACAGTCAATAGATGATCCTAACTAATCATGCTACACTAAATAGTACACATCACTGTGATGTAGACCTGGGCGATAAAACGGTATAGATATTTATCGACGGTACACCTTCTTCGATAACGATAGAAAAAATGTTCGATATAGGCACGTGCTATGAGTGAAGCAGACAGCACACACAAACACGAACACATGCTGAATTGAGTGTTGTGCCTGCTTGTGATGAGGAGATTGCGAATAAAGAATGAATATTAGTTGAATTTAAAATATAAATTTGCATTTAAATGTTAGGAGTGTGTCAGGGAGCGTCATCAGAGGCACACGAGATGCAGTGATAATGATGTAAGTGACGTTGTTGCATTTTAATGTTTTGTTAGTCTAGCCCACGAGATGCGCCGCTGCTGTGTTATGCATTCAAAATATTAGAGAAATATAGAAGCTCAATGCGGAGAAGATCTTGATTAGGTGAAAACCGAAACCAAGCCATTCACACAGATGCATATTCAGCGCATTTTTTAGACGGACAAATATGACTGCTGCACTCGCGTCTCACAGAAGATGATGTAGTCTTGCAAAGTTAAAACATTTAAAACGTTTAGAAAACACGTCGCAAATTTGTGGAGGTTTATTCCTTTTCACTGCATCTCTTATGTTTTTAAATGCAATCTGCGTGATGGGAGATTCGGCTCTTTGTATTAAGCAATGCATAAATACATGATGCTGTTTTGTTCATAATTGTTTATGCAATTTACGAAATTATATTTTATTTATATGAGTTAATTTAGAGGTAATGCACATTTTTTTTTATAGACAGTTATTTCCTTGCATTGATATTATGCCCTGCATTATTTTGCTCATTGCGCCCTCCTGTGGCCTCGGGAGACAAGCCAAAAGTTTCCTTAAGACCTATTTAATCTGCATGTAAAACATTAGAAATTAGATATTTGTTTAATTTTTATTGTGTGTTTGACTGTTAAAACAAAAAAAATTGTTGTTTGTCTCAATAAACAGGGTTAATTTAAAAATACAGTGGTTACATTTTTTTTTTAATTCTATTGCTCTTTGTTTTAAAAAAAGGTTATAAAAAATGTCAATAATTATTGATACCGAACGATATGAAACATTATATCATTGGTCAATTTTTTTGCTATATCGCCCAGCCCTACTGTGATGTCTATTGAATGTTTTCATAAACCATTTTTGTAACCATTTTTTCTTAAGATAAACAAGGTCACTTAAAACACGCCACCTTATACCCTAAGATCGCAAAACTGTGAGAATAGGGTAATCTTTAGTTTAGAGACTAAACAAACATGCTGATTAATGAGATTCATTGGCCTTTTTTTAATCTGTGGGTCAGTGTTTTGGTACAAGACAAGCCAGAGTTAGTGAAGAGTTTACGGCCCAGATGGTGTGTGTATGTACATCATTCTGTGTAGTATTGCATCAGACTCTGCGAGGGGGAGGGAGCAAGCACGTGAGCGACAGAGGAAGAGTGAAAGCATTACTAGGAGACCAGCAAGTAAACAGGGCTGCTCACACAGGTGGTTTTAGAGAAAGGCAGTGAAAGAGGGGTTTTTTTTACTTGATTTAGCTTGGGTTTCTCTACGTGCTATAAGAAATCCTGCTCTCATCTTTCTGCCTCTAGCTCACTGTGTTTTCATATATCTTTGAGCTCAGTTCTTAGGAGCAGATATTGTCTTTGTGCTTGTGTGTGCATGTTTGCACGTGGATGACATCATAGTCTCATGACAGAGCGGGAGGCGGGCTGGGCAGAGAGGCTCTCGCAGGAGAAACGGCTCTACGCTGCATTCAGCTTTAGTTTCATCACAGCCCTAAGAGCTCTTTAATTAGCCTTCATTTGCTCTGCCAGTAGCAGAAACGGCCCCAGCTGCTCCAGTCCCACTTCCTCTCCCAACAGTCAGCCTCTAGTTCTATTATTTGTACAACCATGTATGTTTTTATGAAGAGATCTAGTTAAAATCTCAATTTCTCTTCCATTGTGGGGACACGTTTGTTCTTTTTTGTTGCCGTTAATTTCATACATTTTGTTACAAATTTCAGGTGCACTCAGCTCCATTTAATACATTTTTCTGTAGGCTATGTTACCACAATATCCTCATGGAAAATATGGAAAAAGATTCCATTTATGCCTAGTAGTACAATAATGAGAAAGTATAGGCAGTATGAAACTATGCTGTATGTTTTATGCCTGTTTAGTATGGCTGATGTGTGTGTTTGTAGTTTGGATTTTTGCAAAATGGGCTGTATTTGAGATTTAATATTGAATGTCTTTAATGATGGGCTTTTGGCAGGACTGTGTGTGCGCAGCTTTGAAGAGGCTTGTTGAGGTGGGGGTTTCTGATGGTTTCCAGTTGTTGATGTAAAGGGTCTGGAACAGTTTCAGACCCCTCCTCGCACGTGTCTTACATCGAATATCTAACGTCTTGCTTAAAGTAACTTCAGGACATTTTTCATGGACATATGTGTGATGTCTCTTGTCTCTTTCCCAAAAAGACTCATGGCTGTATTAGATCAAAAGGGTGCTTCTACTAAATACTGAGCAAAGGGTCTGAATACTTAGGACCATGTGATATTTCAGTTTTTCTTTTTTAATAAATCTGCAAAAATGTCAACAATTCTGTGTTTTTCTGTCAATATGGGGTGCTGTGTGTACATTAATGAGGGAAAAAAATTAACTTAAATGATTTTAGCAAATGGCTTCAATATAACAAAGTGAAAAATTTAAGGGGGTCTGAATACTTTCCGTACCCACTGTATGTCCACTAAAGATGTACACAACAATGTATAAAGCTTATGTAGTTGTATCTTCTACTTTTTCTCTTGTCCCAGAGCACTGTTATTAACCCTTACTCTGCTGAATTGTTGGATGTACTGTAATATGCTGTTTCCTACTAAACTTACACTATTTTCCATGTTCCCCTAGGATAAAGACAAAGGCTCGTCAAACAAGACTCCTAAATTGGACCACAGCGATGGTGTCAAAGAGATGAAAGAGAAAGCTCCTAAGAGGAAGCTGCCCTTCACTGTTGGAGCCAATGGGGATCAGAAAGATTCAGACTCTGGTAAGGGGGCGTGGCCAATTCATAGCACAGAACTCTGGGTAACAGGAAGTGTGTGCGTGTTTGTGTGTGGGCTGCTGTTGTTGTTTTTCTTCAGTAATGTGTCCCGCAATGACAGATGTGCTGCTGGAGAAACCATTAGTCGAGTAATTGGACATTTGTTGGATATGACATGCTGAGAAGGGTGAGATATCATACTTTGTATTATATTTATAGGGATCTTTTGATGTAGTTCAGCCTGGATCATTATCATTTTTGTTCAAGTATTTCATTTGATCCTAACTTAATGTGCTTCTACTAAATACTGAGCAAAGGGTCTGAATACTTAGGACCATGTGATATTTCAGTTTTTCTTTTTTAATAAATCTGCAAAAATGTCAACAATTCTGTGTTTTTCTGTCAATATGGGGTGCTGTGTGTACATTAATGAGGGAAAAAAATTAACTTAAATGATTTTAGCAAATGGCTTCAATATAACAAAGTGAAAAATTTAAGGGGGTCTGAATACTTTCCGTACCCACTGTATGTCCACTAAAGATGTACACAACAATGTATAAAGCTTATGTAGTTGTATCTTCTACTTTTTCTCTTGTCCCAGAGCACTGTTATTAACCCTTACTCTGCTGAATTGTTGGATGTACTGTAATATGCTGTTTCCTACTAAACTTACACTATTTTCCATGTTCCCCTAGGATAAAGACAAAGGCTCGTCAAACAAGACTCCTAAATTGGACCACAGCGATGGTGTCAAAGAGATGAAAGAGAAAGCTCCTAAGAGGAAGCTGCCCTTCACTGTTGGAGCCAATGGGGATCAGAAAGATTCAGACTCTGGTAAGGGGGCGTGGCCAATTCATAGCACAGAACTCTGGGTAACAGGAAGTGTGTGCGTGTTTGTGTGTGGGCTGCTGTTGTTGTTTTTCTTCAGTAATGTGTCCCGCAATGACAGATGTGCTGCTGGAGAAACCATTAGTCGAGTAATTGGACATTTGTTGGATATGACATGCTGAGAAGGGTGAGATATCATACTTTGTATTATATTTATAGGGATCTTTTGATGTAGATCACCCTGAATCATTATAATTTTTGTTCAAGTACTTAATTTGATCCTAACTGAATGTGGGAGTTTAGATAAGCTGCACATTTATGTTGCAATTTGGCTATTTTTTTCCATTTGTTGTGTTTTTAGCTTGTGTAGGGTTAGGTTTAGTGGTTTGAATGTATTTCAAGTTTTGTGGTTTGTTTCATGGCTGTTATTTCTGCATGTTTTGCAGTCGAGGCACAAGCTTCTCTGTAACCTTTTAGCAAGCCGTTGGCAGAACCCCCCTCTCTTTTGAGACGTGGCTATAAAGCGTGAAATCTTGCCCATTTTCTTTCTCATCAGACAATGCCTGAAGTGCTCATTGTAATGCTAATAGGGGGTGTGGTCACATTCATTCTTTGATTGGCCTGTCTCTGTTGATCTCTCTCTCTCACTGTCCATTCCCAACACTTATTTTGCTCAACACTGAAGTATGGCTTTTGCATTTGTTTTATCTATTAATAACTAATCAATTGAATATTTCTTCAGTTTTCAAATTCAGTTTTCATCAGAGATTCAAATCCTCACTTTTAGGCCATACAATGGCAGCTACAGTCTCTGTGAAGGTAGCTTGGATTTTGTTGCATGTTTTTATGCTGCATCATTGTCTGTTCCTAATGGAATCCATCCAACTATTGGCTGTGCTCCACCTCATGCACCCTTACTGGGACTTTTTGATGTAGTTGAGCTGCTCTCTCCATGGTCTCCTCCCCCAGTTGGAAGGTTTCCAGTACAGGACTAGTTAGATCTTCATTCCATTACTGCAATGAGCTCACACAAACACCCTTTCGGCTGCTGCTGAAAGTTGGACGCACATTTAACGTTTTACTGCAATGGGAGCTTTTTAATTATGAAGCGTTAGCAGTTGCTACGAAAGCCATTATCAACCCAGTCTTGGCAGGGATGAAATAGAAAGGAAGATGTTAGGGCTGGGCAATATAGCTAAAGAATGTATCTCTTGATATAATTTAGGGGTGCTCCGATCAGGATTTTTGAGGCCGATCGCCGATCACAGACAGCAGTATCTGCCGATACGATCACCGATACCGATCTTTTTAAAGCCTTCTATGTATCATTTATAACTATTTATAGTGATACTCCAATCAGGATTTTTAGACATTTATTCAGGGCCTGAATTTCATTTTTGAAAATGGGGGAAATTCCCCTCTTACGTGACTCTTGTGAGAGGGGAAGCAGCACAAACTGTGCTTTCACACAGGAGTCTGCTACTGATCAGTGGCTATTTACCACAAACACATTTATCCATTATTTTGATTTCAAATCTAAACATTGTCACTGGAAATGCTTTTTTCAGCATTGCAATTCTTTTTTTAATTTTTTTACACAGTACAGTAATACAATCTTTCACAGACATGTTTAAACTCAATAAATATAAGCAACCATTATTCAATGCATTTTATTTTGCATTTACTTCTAGATTGATATATTAAGTTGCTCAAGCAAGTGGCAAAACATTTAAACTACTGTTCTTATGTTATCACAAACTTACCATTGACAGAAATAGTCATATCTACTGCCTTTCCTTTTGCATTTAAATCTTTATTACCATCTAAATTGCCATCTATTATTACCTTGTTTATCTAAAAGTGCTCTTTCCCTTTAAACCTAGCCAAAAAGCCATGTGTTGACTGTGAAACACAGTAGACTTTAATTATATGCATTTATGATGTAATTACTACATTTTTGTCAATCCATGTTCATATTTACTGCAAACAATGCACTGTCACTTTAATTCAGCGCTTGCAGTGCATCAATAGACTCTGTGCAGAAACGATCTCTGCACTGCTGCAGACGCACCACTCCTGAACGCACTGCTGGACTGCAACCGTGTGCAGTGAACGCTTTAATCCGTTAACATGAGTGGTTATGCACTGCAAACGGAATAATGTGAACTTGGCATTATGTGTGTGCGCTGTGAGTGTGCATGAGCACACGGTCTCCAGGAGAGCGTGCGGGCGCTGAATGATTAAACGCTGGCAAGAATTAAAAAGTAATGCAATTTATAAACTTTAGTGACGATGTGACACTGCCTCGATTGTGCAAGTGACAATTCCTGTGTCAACTGTGCTGCGTGCAGCTCGCTTATAGGCAGACGCGATGTGTGGTGATTTGAAGAGTGGTGACTCACGCTGTTTGTGAAATTACGTCTCAAAAGAGATTTTCAAGTTACTTTATAAGTTATTTAATGAAGAAATATGAAGGTGAGTACCTCACCTTCAGCATTATAATTATTTCACCCATGCCGGACAGAGTCTGAGACGGTGCCTCTGCATGTCATGCCAAAACTCTCACGGCAGCGTGAGATCGGTTTTTGGAGATCGGCCTTTTTAAAGACCGCCGATCAATCATCCCAACGTGATTATCGGCCGATAGTGATCGGTAGCCGATCAATCGGAGCACCCCTAATATATTTCCAAATTTTGGCGATAATTGATGTGGGGGGGTGATAGCAACGCCTATCAGTTGTCATAGTTGTGAAACATGAGTTAAATTGTCTTACTGTCTTTAAGCTCAACTTTTAACAGTATTGCGATTATTCCATAATTATATATCATCAGCAAAGATATCACAAAATCGCTATTTTGAAGTATCGCCTAGCCCTAGATGATGGTGCAGATGGAGACAGTGTTGGTTATTAGGCTGTAATAAGTTGGAGTTGATTCCCCAAAGAAACCAAACCTAAGAATAGCATGAGTACAGCAGAGATGGATGTGCTGATTTTGAAATTTTGGGTAATACTAAGCTAATTGTTTTATGACCAATAACTGATATGATTATAAATCTAGGATGTTTTGTTTGTTTTTAAAACAACCAAACTTAGTTTTTAATTTGCATTAATTGAAAACGTAAATATAAAATGTTTGTTTTAATGATTTTATTTTATTTATGCTTAACTAGCATCTGGCATGCAAAAAAAAAAATAAAGATCTGTTTGAATTGGGAAAAAGCTAATGTCTCATAGTATTGTTTATCGTAAAATTGTTGACAAAAATGTGGCTTAAAATAGCCAACAGTTATCATGTTCCTGGCACGGCAAGTAAAACGTTGTTGCGTGTAACTGTGTATCAAAGCCGAAGCCGAGGTAAAATGGAGCCAGCTTCACTGTGTCACCGAGGGTGTTTCCTGTCCTCCATTTTCTGTAGGATTCCATTTGAAATACATAATTTATCTAGCTGATATTTTTACATCTCCCTCTCTGCATCTCTCTCATGGGCTCTCGGTGCATTCTGCATTCAGTTAGATGGCAGAGATCTTCTGTGCCTCTTAGCTCTAGTGTGGGAACAACCCACAAGGCCTATGAGCACTCAGGATACTTCCACCGTTCTTTCTCTCCATCTCACTGTCGTCTTGTCTCCATCTTCTGTGTTTGCTCATTGCCTCTGCTGTGCTTTCTCAGGCCGCAGACATTATGTAGTGCCACTGCTCTAAAGAGCCTTCGCTAGTGGCAATGCATTTAGCATGCAAATAACAATGCATTTCCAGAGGATATTACAGACACTGTATAGCTTTTTTGGGATACGCACTGAATGGTTTGGGAACGTGGGCTATAGCAGACGGTGGATGTGAGCTGTGGAGGGAGAATGTTGTGGAAAAGGGTGAAGGGAGTGGGTTGGCTGATAAGAGACAGTAATATTTGCTGCTCCACTGCTGCCCACGCCTTGCTAACGCTGGTAGGCATGTGCGCTGGTACACTTGCACGTACAATTGGTCTCTGGCTAATATGCACACACACTCGCATTTAGAACGTTTCTGCTTCCTGTAGGCAGAGAGAAGAGATTTGCTGCTGTCTAACTGATCGGACCAGTGATGGTTTTTGGCCTTCATACGACCAAGCCATGGAGCATTACTCATATTGCTGGAGGGAGGAATGTTTTTGTAGTATTTCATTTTCTGTCATGCAGCG